GTTTCTCTTAGATATTTGTCACAAAAACAAAAGGTTTGACTTAGATTTCAACATATAAAATTGGGTGGGGGGGCACATTTAGTTCCTAATAACTAAGAATCAGTTCCTTGACACACAGATGTTTCCACAGGCCTGCATGAGCCAAAATAAACAAAACCACAACATGGCAGTTGGTTACCTGACAGCAGATGACTGAAAGAGATGCTACCCAAGACAGAAGCCAAGGCTTTCTCTAACCTAAGTTTTGAGATGACTATCTCACCACTTTCCCTATTCTATGTATGAGTCACATATTTAAAAGAAAAGGAATACCCAGAAGTATGAATATGAGGAGGCAGAGCTCTTTGGGAACCATTTTATAGGCAGCCTACTAGTGGTTCTGAACAAATAATACAGTAATACTACTATACAGATCAGTGACAATCTAAAAAGCAGTATCGTTGCTGGGCGCCGGTGGCTCACGCCTGTAATCCTAGCTACTCAGGAGGCTGAGATCTGAGAATTGCAGTTCAAAGCCAGCCCAGGCAGGAAAGTCCATGAGACTCTTATCTCCAATAAACCACTAGAAAACTGGAAGTGGCGCTGTGGCTCACGCGGTAGAGCACTCGCCTTGAGCTGAAGAGTGCCGGAACAGTGCCCAAGCTCAGAGTTCAAGCCCCACGACCAAAAAAAAAAAAAAAAAAAAGGCAGTATAGTCAAACCTATAAACAATAAAAGTGAGTATACAGAAAAACCATAATAATGGTGCTACAATGAAAATGTTAATTAAAATGTGCTAACAGGAGTTAGCAATATCTACAGAAGGTTTTTAATTTTTTGCTTTTATTAAATACAAAAGTGATACACAAAAGTGGTGTCTATAAAACACAATTAAACTAAAAAGAAAAGTGACAAAATTAATACACATGACTTCATAAGGTCTCCTAATGCCACACCATTTCTACCCTCTCCAGAAAACACTGTTTGCTGAACTTTGAAATCATCATTCACTTTATCTTCTTCATTGTTTTATTACAGATGTTCTTATTCCTATACAAGATATCATTTGGATTTCCCTGCCTTTGATTTTATATAAATGGAAGCATACTGTCTATATTTCTCTCAAGATTATGTTTCTGAACATTTATCCATTTGATGCCTTCACACTGACGTTTTCAATTCGAACCAAACTTCACTAAGTTCTTCACATATTGTTCAAATACAAGAGGAAACTCAAACACATCATTTAAACCTCCAGCTGTCTCCTTACTTCTCTATGCAATATGGTATACAACTCATCTATCTATGTCTTGATGGATATTTGGGCTAGCTATATCATAGTAACTGCATAAATAATGCTGCTATGAACATGACAAAGCTTGCTCCTGGTTCAATTGTGCAAATTTCTTCAGAGTTTATACCTGGGAAAGGAACTGTTGGAAAAAAGCTGTAAGAGAGAATGCCAAATTGTTTTCCAGAGTAGTTGTAGTCATTTACATTCCAATCGACAGTGAGTAAAGTTCTAGTTTTCCAAATCCTATCTGATATTTGATGATATTTGATTTTTAATTTTTTTTGTCAATCTGGAAGGTATCAGATGAAATTTTATTGAGGTTTGATTTGTCTTTCACTCATCATCAATTGTAATATATTTTACAAGTACTATCCAGTGATCAAACGAGAATCTGAACTTTATACATAGGTTTTAGCCATCATGTGTAACTACAGATTGTTGTTACCTTAACAAAATATTGTACCTGTAAGTTCTCTGGTTAAAGGTTAAATGCATGCCTATAATCATAGCTATCCAGGAGGCTGAGATCTGAAGATTGAAATTCAAAGCCATCCCAGGCAGGAAAGTCTGTAAGACTTTCTCCAATTAACTACCAAAAAGCCAGAAATGGAACTATGGCTCCAAGTGGTAGAGTACTAGCCTTGAGCACAAAAGCTCAGGGATAGAGCCCAGGCCCTGAGTTCAAGCCCCAAGAATGAGCATACAAAAGAAAATTAAGGGACTGGGAATGTGGCTTAGTGGTGGAGTATTTGCCTAGCATGCATGAGGCCCTGGATTCAATTACTCTGTACCAAATAAATAAAATGAGTAAATAAATAAAACCACATAGATTGAATCCTAAAAAAAAAGAAAGAAAGAAAGTTAATCCGGGTGCCGGTGCCTCTTGCCTGTAATCCTAGGGCTGAGATCTGAGGATCATGGTCCAAAGCCAGCCCGGGCAGAAAAAGCTGTGAAACTCTTATCTCCAATGAACCACTCAGAAAACCAGAAGCGGTGCTGTGGCTCAAGTGGTAGCGTGCTAACCTTGAGTTTAAGAGCTGAAGGACAGTGCCCAGGCCCAGAGTTCAAGCCCCAGGGCCGACAGAAAAAAAAAGTTTAATGTGAAATCATAATCAGTAATAATTTAGTAATGCTTATGCTGCAAAGTGGTAGAAGCCATAGATAGATAATAAAATGATGAATAAAGAAAATAATTTTGAAGGCTGGGAGTGCTGGGAGAGTATGCAGCTCAGTGTAGAGCAAGTTTAGCATGCACAGGACCCAAAATTTAATCCCTAAGCTCAGAAAAAAAAACCCCAAAAAACAGAGAGAGAGAAAAAGGAAGATGAGGAAGAAGGAGAAGAGGAGGAGGAGTAAGAGAAGAAGAAGAAAAAGAAAATGAGAGGAGGGAGAAAAAGAAAGAGAAAAGAGCAAGAGGGAGGAAGGATAAATGAAAACAATGTTCATGGATGTTGTACTTCTCATTATAGGAAAGGTGTTATAAAGAAATTAAGAGAAAAAGTGAGTCATATATGTCTATTTTATATACACTATTTCTGCTGCCCTCAAGGAATATATAAGGTGTATCATTGTGGGCTGGATATATTTTGTTCCTGATTCAGAGCCCAGGGGATGGTGCTCTTAAGGTCTTTAAATATAATTTGTAATCTCGGAGATTTACAGCAAAGTACCAATAAAGGGATTTTCCCCTTAGATTTCACTTTGGATTGACAACTGTGGACTATAAACCTGTTGATTGATTCAAATGCCAAACCTGGTGAGGTTATATCCAGACTGGACCCTACTCAAACCAACATGTTCCAGAACAAGCCAAAGGTCTAAGAATAAAGTCAGTTGCAAATGAGTAAGAAGTCAAGTGATCCTTGTTAGTCTGTCCTGGAGGCTGAGCTTAGGAGATGGAACCTGCCAACCACCAGGATGTGCCTGGACCCCAGGTGTCCGAGAGGGCCTGAGTTAAGTGAGGTTGGATTGGTCAGTTATAGACTATACAGAGGAGGCTGGGTGCTAGGTGCACTTTGAACTTCTGTCAATGTTCACATAGACGATAGTTCAAGATGACTTTTACTCATGGATTGTTGAAGTCCAAATTTACATTAAAATGTTGTGGCTTTTTTTTTTAAACAGTCTTATTATGTTGCCCAGGGTTTCCTTGAATTTAGGATCCTTTCATGTCAGCCTCCCTAGTAGCTGGGATTATAAATTTACATTTTTGAAAAGTAATTTAGAATAGCTATCATGTACTAATTGTATTAGGCATATCATGTTCCTTTTTTTTTTGTCAGTCCTGGGGCTTGAACTCAAGGCCTGGGTGTTTTCTTGGAGCTCTTTTGCTCAAGGCTAGCACTCTACCACTTGAGCCACAGAGCCATTTTCACACTTCCGGCTTTTTGGGAATTAATTGGAGATAAGAGTATCCTGGACTTTCCTGCCTGGGCTGGCTTTGAACTTTGATCCGAAGATCTCAGCCTCCAGAGTAACTAGGATTACAGGTGTAGGCCACATCTCCCCCTGCCCCCCCCTTGTGTTCCTTTTTTTTTTTTTTGACATATGAGTCTACCAGTAGGAATCTGTTCAGTCAAGTGAAAGTGGATTGATTTTAATCATCACAAGAAAAATAAGCTACTCAGATGAGGAAACATTCCTCCCTGCCTTGGGAAGTGCATGGAGCTGGGAACTCAGGCTTCAGCCTTGGGATAGCAGGATTTCTCAATGTGTTGCCTCAACTTACAGGAATCAAGTTATCTATCTCTATGCTCCAGCTTTTCTTTACCACCTAACTCTTGTTTCTTTAGGTTGTATATCTCCAGTCAACTGGCAAAACCAGCTCTAACCCTTGGTTTGGAACTTAGGTTTGAGTTCATTGTCTTGCACATGGTGTGGGGGACGTGTGTGTTGCGGGCAGTCACACCATAAGCCATCGGCTCTTAACTCTTGGTAAGGAGAACCTTGATTGGATGTTATTTTTCCAAACCACTCAAGTAATCCATCTTTATTAGTCGTGGATTCAATGTCTGTCCACAGCCCCATCAGCAGAGGCTAGGAAGATATTTAGCCCATAGCTGCTTAAGCAGTGATGAGTAGCGGGAAAGTTTCCTTTATGAAGGCAAATACCTAGGAAGGACATCTCTAGAAATGGAATCTAAGAAAAAGACGTAGAGATGGGGACCAATAAGTGCATTAAAGTGCGCGTGCGTGGGCACACACACACACACACACAACAGGATAATTGTGGGTTGCCTAGGTGTGCAACAAAGAGCAGCTAATGCAGTGACTTTGGAGATTGTTGAAGAGCGTGGGGAATTGCTCACAAAATATTGCTTGGGGGGAAAAAAGACAGGCTATATAAACCTATATATCTGATACGATCAGAATTTTCCGGGAAAAAAAACCCCACCTTGCATTTATTATTCTCTTCTTAAATCTGTAAGAGGAAGTTGACAGGTTAGGGGTGTGAACGAGCGGCACACAAATTATTTATTCGGTCATGGCTTTCATTTGTTCCTTAGTGAGCCACGGGGGGACGGAGGGTTAAAAGTCCCAGCTTCTGTTCAGCGGGGCCTGGGGGCGGCCCGCGTCCGGCTCCCAGCCCGGCCCCGCGCCTCTCCCTGCCGTGGCTCTCCGGGTCCGCGCGGTCGCGGATCGGGCGCGCACCACACCACGCACACGTGTACTCGGAGGGCGGAGCCCCGCCGCTGCCCTGGCCTTCCGTCTTCCGGCGGCCCTCGGACTCTGTCCCGTCCGCCCCGCTGGCCGCGGCATGGCTCCGGTCCGCTTCTCCGCCAATCTGTCCTGGCTGTTCCCCGAGCTCCCCGGGCTCCCCGCGCGACTGCAGGCCGCGGGCCGCGCGGGCTTCGAGGCCGCCGAGGTGGCCTGGCCGTACACCGAG